ATCTTCCCCGGGGTGCATGCCCCCGGACCCCCCTAGAGGAGGTGAGGTCCACCCCCAAATAAAGCAGGTTAAAATAATTAAATTGCATACATTTTCTTTTAGTAAACATTGAAAACGGGTCCCGCAGACCCAAACAGCAAACAAAGGTTAAAGGTAAGCATATAATAATGTTCAAATGTGCTAAATATATACAGTGCAAAAAATCTAAAAAAAGAGGAGTAATAGTAGCTCACGACTTGTTTTATTTTTTGAAAGTAGCTGTCATCCTAAAAAAGGTTGGAGACCCCTGTTAAAGAACGATACATTTGACAATTTTAAGCTTGGAAAAAACTAATCGCTCCATTTTATTGGAGCGATGAGGAACAGTTGGGGCTTGAAAAGGCCCACCTGTTCAAAGTGGGGAATGACAGAAAAAGTTTGAGAACCACTGCCCTACAGGAAGTTTTTTTTTATGAAGAAACAAAAAGGGGGGTCTGATCCATTTCTCGGCTTTGTCATCATTCTATCAGTGTCTCTATTCCGTGTTAGTTCAAGATCCAAGGTTGCTCTCTCTCTCTCTCTCTCTCTCTCTCTCTCTCTGTCTCTCTCTCTACCGGGTGTAGGGGCATGTCACTTCACGCTGTGTGGGCTAGAGGCATCTCGTCCCAGAAGGAGAGTGAGGAAGACAGGCGTGACGGTGGGTGACGGAGCTGACAGTCAACCTGTGTGATGCTGGGGGCCACCGGGGGGCTGGAAGTTGGAACCTGAAGACCTCCTAGATTTTCTTGACCCACCTACATACAGCAGCATCCAAGAGGCTGCTTGCTTGTCCCAAAAGCTTGAGAATTGCAGTAAACCGGCATGAAATAGGACAGCAGCAGTTGCTATCCTTACGCAAATGTACATAAAATAGGCCTCAAATAGCTGTACTATATATTATCATTGCAAAGTATTTCCTTTTTTTATTCTGCTTTCTTTTCTATGTCCATGTTCAAGTTAAAGAGGGAAATATAAAAATATCGAAAATCCTAAACCATCAGTCATGGTGATGATGGCGATGACGAAGGTGGACATAGCACCTTCTCTTGAGGTGTTAACCATCTGCATGGGTTGTTAATCTTATATGCTGCCAGTTTAAAATATGTATATGTCCTCAACACCAATTCCTTGATTTAAATACACTTTAAAAAATGTGACAAGTAAGGTACCCTAAAGGAATATCAATTTGTTCTGCTCCATATTACAGGTTTAATATGTTTATTGTGGAAGATCTGCCCCTACTGGTTGTGGGACGGTGGTTACTGAAAGATCGGTTGACCAATTGCATTCACACATTATTAGGTTACATCATTGTAACATGTTGACGTTAACGCATAAATATGATTGACATAAGTGTAAATGATGTATATATTATGTAATCTTGAATGCCGAATACATTTTTTATAGACAAGATTATGAATGTGTTACAAAAACAAGTTACCTGGTAAGAGGTATCGTAGTTCGATAAACAAATGAGTGATAATAAAGTGTGATTGGCTGCATGTACAGCATAGCAAAAATGTACCATGTGTTCCTTCATTGCTAGGATGATCAGGTTTTTTTGTCATATATTGAAGAAAATACATAGTCCATAAAAGACATACCTTAAAAAATAGCATAATGAAATGAATGTGAAAATGGAAAACTTCCAGAGTACTAATAGAAACTAACTTACATGTA